CTAAATTTTAACATACTAACCAGAACCCTATTGGCGATTGACATGGGCAAGTACAGTGGGACTGTGAGACCTGTGGGGGATCAGTTTCATGCCTCTCCCTGCAGATGCTGGAAAGTGCAGATATGTGAACACTATATATACCATAGTCTGTAGTTCCTCTAGTGGCCAGTTCTGGTAACTGGAAACTTGTATTTCTGGATTTTTTGAATTAATATTTTCAGGCAGTGGATAAGTGAAACCATGGGTACTAATCCCACAGATACTATGGTCCTATTGCATAAAATAGCTGTTGTCTTACAATCCAATTGCCTCTAATTTATGTGGCGCCAATCGCATTCCTGGGGGTGGCCAGTAGACTGAACTTTGCCCATCCCTCATGTATACAATGTGTCTAAAAGGCAGAGTAGTCAATAACCTTTTTTGTGCAAAGCTACTTTGTCACCAAAATCTATTAAGAAAAGAGGAAAAAGAGGAAGATAAAGAATATTCATAATCAAATGCTAATGTTACGACATCAGGTCTTGTAGGTGATTCGGACATCCATCCTGTAGGTGCTTCTGCCAGTATGCAAAAGGCGGATTAACAGACCGGAACAGACTAGTGGAGTAGAAGACTTGATGGATTAAAGTCATGTTTTAAGATAGGAAATCCTTTTTTTTTTCAAAATGCTACATTTCAATTTATATTGTTTCACTAAAACCTATGGTAATGAGAGCATTTATCACAGAGGATAGGAATAAGGGTGGGGAGTGGGGAATCAGATGGGTTGGTTTCAATGCAACTGGTGCCTTTAAATCACACCACATTAAGAGCTTGCAATGCCTCCCAAATACTTACACAGGAGAAGGGGATTACATAATCACTACTTGTCACCCGACTCTGCATGATTCCACACATCACATTAGCACTTCCATTTTTGTAATACATATCTTGATAATGTATGGCAGTAATACACATGTCATGGTTGCCCACTTACAGCAGTTGAGACAGTAAGACTGACACAATGAAATATAATCTAAGATTTCATAGGTGGAGGAAGTTGCTATAGCTCTGATAGCAATAAATATATCTGCAAAGAAGGGAGACTGGAGTGGGAAAGGCAGTCCTGGTGTTAGTTTTCACGAAGTTATTCATTATACAAGTTGAAAAACATTACACATCCCAAGCATTTAGTGTCAGTCACAACATGAGTACAGAGAATAACAGTATCACTTTTTGAATTAGTGCGTTGGGTGAAGGATTCTGGGAGTTGTAAGTAAGAATCAAACAACAACAAACCTCTCTAAATTCTGCATTAATGAAGATGTTCTTGTGTCATCAGCTTAATTATTATTAAATTTATTGTACCTTAGGATTTTATTGATATTGATACATGTTCTTTTCAGACAAATTGTACGAGGACAAACACGTGCCAGTTTGGATGTGCATAGGCCACATATATGTGCTGAAAATTACACCGAATGGGGAAAATTGCCTTCTTGTCCTATACCACAGTTTTCTGGAAATCCTCCTATGGTAAAATTTATTTGTTTATTAAATGAACCATATCGCTGCTCATATTGTATGTCGTCTTAATTTTAATGATAAAAAGTCAGATTAAAGCTTTTTTACTGCCTTTAACATTAAGAGCCCAGAGTCAAATCAAGAACTGCGTCAGATATTTAGACACATTGTAAATAAGTGCATGATTAAAAAAACAAAACCCAGAAAACGTAAAAATCTAGGCGTGAATGTTCAAGATCAGCTTGAAATAGCAAGCTCTCTTACTATCCAGCATAGTCTTGAGAAACAGACCTGTTCCTGATTTCAGTTACTTCCTAAGCATATAAAACAATTGCCAAAGAAGAAATTCTCTTCTGAAAACTGGGTGTGGTATAACAAGTCCTTTGAGTGAACTGTTTAAGCTGTTTCCTGCCATACGCACGGCAATCATATACAGTATTGATCTAGCAGAATGTCATTAACGTGGCTCTTTCTTCCTCTCTTTGCATGTTTTTTTCTTGTTCTGTCGGCAGACATGGAAATGGATCATAGGCCCAATGATTCTGTATGTCTTTGAGAGGCTGGTACGGTTCTGGCGATCAATGCAAAAGGTTGTTATCACAAAGGTAAGAGTCCCCAAAACAGCTTACTAATTTCACCCCACTCAAATAAATTTCTAGACAGTAGTTCACAATTTCCTAGTAGTCAGTAGTCTACAGAGGAACTGAGTCCCCATGCTGTGGAGAGTTAAAGGTAAAGGTTCCCCTTGACATTTAGTCCAGTCGTGTCCGACTCTAGGGCGTGATGCTCATCCCTGTCTCCAAGCCGTAGAGCCAGCGTTTGTCCATAGACAGCTTCTGTGGTCACGTGGCGAGTGCAACTAGACATGGAAGGTTGTTACCTTCCCACCGAGGTGGTACCTATTTATCTACTCGCATTTACATGCTTTCGAACTGCTAGGTTGGCAGGAGCTGGGACAAGCGACAGGAGCTCACTCTGTTATGTGGATTCGACTGCTGGTCACCAAATATGTATCAACTCATTATAAACTTTCCTGATCCCACCATATTCTGTGAGGTGCTCTAAGAAGCTTATGTCTTGTGTCATAGGTTGTCACTCATCCTTTCCAAACCTATGAGCTCCAAATGAAGAAAAAGGGCTTCAAGATGGAAGTTGGGCAATACATTTTTGTCAAATGCCCTGCAGTGTCCATGCTGGAGTGGCATCCTTTCACACTGACTTCTGCTCCTGAAGAGGATTACTTCAGCATTCACATTCGTGTCGTTGGGGACTGGACAGAAGGCTTATATCAAGTTTGTGGATGTGATAAGCAAGAATTCCAGGATGCCTGGAAACTGCCCAAGTGCGTACAGAACAGATGGTCTATGGCAATTGGGGGTGGGGGTGGGGGGACTGAATGTCTGATGCTGTACTGTCAATCTGGTGGATGGCTTAGTGCCTGTAGTGGCATGAGCTGGTTACAAAACATGGCCTTGACCATAGGATAGTAAGGGTCTGTACTGCCCTGCAAAGTGGCTGAGAGCAAAAAAGGCCATCAGTGGAACAGAAGGGCATATACCTAATATATGCTTTGATTGTATTCCTGCTTTGAGCAGGGGGTTGGACTTGATGGCCTTGTAGGCCCCTTCCAGCTTCACTTTTCTATGATTTCTATGATCCCAATTGCCCACTACTGGAGAATAGCACAATCAGCCTTATATGATCGGATTGTACTTTATATGGTCAGTCTGTCCTACTAAGAAAGTTGACTCTATCACTCACAAAAGAAGATGAGTACAACAGTGCTAGGATCCAGATTCTGTAAACCACAGTAGCAGTACAGAAGCCTGTTCAAGAGGGCCTTAAAGTTAGTAGACTTAGGATCTGTCAATTACAGTCATTTTTGTCCTTTTTCTGTTCATAAAAGGACACTGTTGCCAGGTGGATTCACTCTGCCCCACATACTTAAAGCTAATTTTATAGCTGCATTAACACCTTGTCCAGTTGCTCCTCAAAGCAGACCCTGGTCCTGTTCTCAAGTGGATCAGTTTCAGCAGCAGTATCTGACCCAAATATTTATGGGTGCAATGGCCCCTGAAGAGAAGCTGTAAGGCTAATTTTAGTTGGTGTGACTGCTGGAGCATCAGGTCATGTATAAACCGATCACAATTATTAATGCCAATCCTATCTTTACTTTTGCAGGATAGCTGTAGATGGCCCCTTTGGTACTGCTAGCGAAGATGTATTCAGCTATGAAACTGTGATGTTGGTTGGAGCAGGCATTGGGGTTACCCCTTTTGCCTCAGTCCTCAAGTCGGTGTGGTACAAATATTGCAATGATTCTGTTACACTAAAACTCAAAAAGGTACATCCCTGTGCATACAATTCTTGTTTCTTCTTGCACTGAATAATGCATTCAAACGGAGTGGTTGGGGAACATATAAAGACAAACTCTGGGCTTGATCCACATGTGTCGATACAATGCTTTGAACAACACATACTCTATGCTGTCATTTGATGTGGATTTACCTTCATATCTGTTTCTAAGAGTGGAGAATGGAAAACACACTGTACTCTAATCTGCTATGTCTGAGTTATGGTCATTTCTCCCCCCCACCTCCTGCAGGAGAAACATCGATCTGAGCAGAGTGTCAGAATTTGGGGTGTGAGATGGGCCCAAGACAAGTCAGTCTTCCAGGTCAACAGCAAAGAGACTTGCAGAGATGGTCGATTCCTTCACCAGCAGTGTATTTACAAAATATGTACAGTAGAACTGTGTACATTAGTGAGCAGACTAAACAATACACTTATCAGTAAAACAAATGGACAGCACTTGGTGTAGTAACTCTCCATACAAAGCTCCATATTCCACTATAGTGTGCAGCACTCATATAGTGTGAACAACCAATCACTGGCACATCACCTGTCCTAGACATTACATCATGCCCAATACATATTTCAAGGATTGCATCCTGACACAGAGCTGTTATAATTCCTGTGGAAATGAAGATTTCCTAGAAAGGGCATTAAACTGTGCAGAAAAGTATAGGTTCTTGTACAATACAAGTGGAAAGTAAATGGGGAAAACAGCTCCTATTTTCGTGGAATGCCAAGAAATCTTGCTAGTGCATGGGGAAGTCTCAGGGAGAAGTTTCAACATGGAGAGTCTTAGAATATCGTCAGGAAAAATAATTTTGTCCATCTGATTCCCATTCCCAGTTCACATATTAAGGCCTCCTGAATCATCTTGTGTAACAGCAAGATCTACTGGTTAGGCATCAGAGTACTGTTGTGAGATGAAAGCCAGCATTTCTATGCCAAAATTTAGAAAAGAGCTAACATTAAATATACCTTTTTCCACACCCTTGCATTTAAAATTGTCATGGCAAGTCCCAATTATTGTCTCCATAAAGAACACTATATACTGTAGTTTTGTTGTTGTTTAGTCATTAAGCCTTTTGTTTCTGTTCACTAAATGACTAAACAACAACAACAGCAATAGTCATTAAGTCATGTCCAACTCTTTGTGACCCCATGGACCAGAGCGCGTCAGGCCCTCCTGTCTTCCACTGCCTCCCGGAGTTTGGTCAAAACTGTATCTTTTGCATTTTGCTAATAATGACCAAAAATATTAGTTCAGCGAAGCAAAGAGCTGCAAAGACTATCAATGGTGAAGAAAGGTAGTCAACCCATGCTATATGGGACACTGATAAACAGTGGCTAGAGATGATGGAACAAATCAAGCAATGGGAAATATTTTAAGGGAGCGTCTGTTAATCTCTTGGAACCAACTTTGTTTTCATCTTGCTGGAAATTATACTTCATGCTGCAAAAGAGGGTACAGTATTAAGAAAAACAGGTTTTCCATTTAAAGGTTTCCCATTGATATGCAGAGTCTAAGGCAAGCATGTTGGCTGGGACACCACAATAGCCTAGTGACAATCTCAGGCAATCTAGTTTATCCAAACAAAGAAAGAGTGCACTATGCTGAGGAATCCATCTACCTCTGCTCACTAGGTAATACAATGAATCTACATTCAACTGGCTGTTTTTGCCTAGTGTGCCGAACACACTCTCCAGCTTTCCTGATGTGGTGACTGCCCTGTTTTGGAGAGCTTCGGCCAAGAGCAAGAACTTCAGACCTGTGATAGGGAAACAAAGGACTCACTGAGTCACTGGCTTGCCTTTGTCTTTAGAAGTAGAAAGAGATGATTGACTTGAGGTGCTTTGATGTGATACCTAATAGCATCCGTGCCTCTCAGACTGATTCATGAAATCTGAAGTCTCCCATTTTAGAATGTTAGTTTCACAAAGATATGAAGGCCTCACAGTCAGATAAGATGGTTTGATGGATTTTTCTGCCCCTCCCCCGCCCTAGCATTGCAGTGGTACAATAACAATACTGTATTACTTCCCACCCTCACAGTTTTGGATTTTGAACACTCAGCACTGGACTGTGTTGCAGTTTTTGTTTTTCCAATTAACAGCAGCTGTGTTTGAGTATTATAGCATCCAGTACCATCAGCATGCTTTGAGGGGAGCACTTAACACTTGCTCCCTCTGTTATTGCTTTCTTACGACTGCTGGATCTTCTGACCCTGCAGCACAGGCTTCTGCGGTTTAGCCCACAGCGCCACCATGTCCCTTTTTTTTTTTTAACTTAACACTTGCTCCCTCTGTTATTGATTTCCTCATGCAAGCAACAACATCTGAACAGGAGAGGTTCCCACCTGCATGCAGGCTCTACATGACAGTGAAAGTTCTAAAAAACATCTAGGTTGTTGGGTGTATGTAGAGTCTACACATAAGCAGGAATTTCTTCTCTTCAGATGTATTGCTACTCTCATGAAGAAAGCAGTGATGGGGGCAGAATAGATAGATCCTTCCCTATAAGCGTGTTGGCAGCTCTGGGTTCTGTAACACCTGAATGGGGCGATTATATTCCAGGGATCCTTTGATATGGATGGCTTCAAATTATAGGAGGGAAATGTGCAAAATGACACCACCTAACTGAGCACAATCAATACTGTGATCGTGTTCAATCTTCTCTCTTCTAGATCTACTTTTACTGGCTCTGCAGAGACACTCATGCCTTTGAATGGTTTGCTGACCTCTTGCAATCACTGGAGAATCAGATGCAGGAGAAGGATAAGGCAGAATTCCTCAGCTACAACATTTATCTTACAGGCTGGGATGAATCTCAGGTAATCACCCACCTGCTGTGGCTGTCTCAAATGTCTTGGGTCTCTGGGAAGAGAAAGCAACCATTACACACTTCTTCCCATTTGTGTGAACAGAGCCTGGTACTCACAACTACTTTCAATAGAAAGTGACTGTATTAGATTAAAATTGCAACCAGTTACTGGGATTGTTTCACTGGCTGCCATATGCAGAACCTGGACAGGAGATTTTTTTTTAAAAAAAGCCTGTTGCTTGTATTATCTGAGCAGTGTTTAAAAACGAATCAGTTGACATTACTCATTGCAATACTGAAATATTTGTTACTGATTAAGTTGCATATTTCTTTTTGTTGCTTTAAAAAAAACTCATGTTAAGAGAACAGTATAAAATTTGCAAAATTCCACTAAAACAACTCTTAAAATGATAACAATTTATTTTAGCTTAAAAACATTAATTGTTGCATTAAAAATTGTAATGGCCCCACTGGTTACATTACTTTCATGGTATCATTTCACTACACTTTTGTTATCACCAGCTCAGTAATTAGTTACAAATTGTTAAATTACTTGTAACTCATTACTTTCACTGAAAGATAATGCTGTATAGCATCTTTCTGACTTCTTCCAGTCTCATATCATATGAATTCACTAGGTGGTGCTTTGCATTGTTTTGTTGCAGACTTCATCTGCTGTACACTTAGGTGTTATCTTCAAAGTACTGTATCAGTTCCCTCTTACCTTCCCATCTTCTGCTTGCCCTCCATGTCAGCTGCACTTACGATTTTCTAACAAGGCCATTCTTCATTTTCTTTCTCCCAGGCTACTCACTTTACTGTGCATCATGATGAAGAGAAAGATGTAATCACGGGCTTGAAACAGAAGACTCTTTATGGAAGACCAAACTGGGAGACTGAGTTCACAACAATTGCAAGCCAGCATCCAAGGTAAATTGGTTCTGTAATGTTTGCTGGGGAGGCCCTTTTTCTATTTGACTCTCTTTGACTCTCTTGGGTGGATAACTATTTCCATCTCACCATACATCCAGTAGTTGATAAATCCAGTCAATATTCAGTTGTTTAGGAAGTACCTTGCTTGCAATCAAGCATGGTGCATACGCGCGCGCACGCACACACACACACACAAGATGCTCCCATGCCATGTTTCCTTCCCATTACTTTGCAACAGAGCATATGAAACCATCTTAATCCACACCACCATCCTCTTAAAGCCTAAAAAGCAGAATGACCATGAGAACATATATGGAGATTCTTAATCTCCATTATTCTTACTTTGATGGTACTACCAACAATCTCACATGATATTTACATTTCAATGGTGGCAACATTAAACAATGTGTAATGTGCAGATCCTGGCAAATGGCTTTTTCTTTTAAACAACATCTCCCATTGGCCACTACCCATGCGAACTCGAAAGTTCTTGGACCTTCAGTACACCAAAACTAACTTTTTCAAACTGGTACTAACCTTTTATTTCAAGTTCAGGAGAATTCCTTAAATTACAAATTGTGTTGGGCATCTGCATTACAGTAATTTCTTTTGCTATCAGTTCCAGGATTGGCGTTTTCCTGTGTGGACCCGAAGCCTTGGCCGACACCTTGAATAAGATGTGCATTAACCATTCAGAAGCTGACCCACGCGGAGTGCATTTCATATTCAACAAAGAAAATTTTTGAGCATGCCAGCACCACGAAAGAAAAGCTACTTTCCTCTGCCCATTTTTCTTAGACATTTGGGCATTGTGGAGCTTGTATTTTATAACAGTAAATATTATTCTTTCTGGAGTTTTGCTAAAGGCTCCAGATCTTCTTGTGTTGCATCTGCGTTGTACAAAGTTCTGCAGAAAGAAAACATTTTCCACAGCAGACAGTTCTAGGCTGTAACTGGAATTAAATTTCAGTGAGTTTAGTAAGCCTTATTTCTGAGTAGAGCTTGCATTATTTTGACATTTCTGATCTCAAGTCCTTCCTCATGACTTCTTTGCATGCAGAAAGCCATCTCTAGTGGACTGCAGACACCTCTGTTCATTTATATTGGTATATTTTCAACTGGTTTAAAGATCACATAAGAATTTTCTCTGCTTACAGTGTTGTTGTATTTTTCTAGCTAGAGCAGAAGAAATGCTGCGGGGAGCGGCGTTCCCTCTTTTCAAGAGAGATTGATATGTAATCTTAGCAAAACAGGATCAGAAAGCCTCACAATATGTAACCTGCCTTTCTGCATTATTTGCTCTACTGCTATTTTCTTCACAACCCCAGGCCCACTTTCCTTAATTCTTGAACAAGTGCAGTGCTTGCCTTTCTCATCAGTATACACATTTTTCCTTTAAATGGGCTTTTATAGATATACATCTGCATAGACGTATAGTAAATTACTTATTTTTTTTTTAAAAAAAGGAAAACTGACTGGTGGTGTCAGTGAAACTGGAAAGGCTTTCCCCCATTTTGTCATTTCCACAGGAGACCAGAAATAAGAGATAATGTGTGCCAGATGCCAGTAGCCTTGAGGGGAAACAAGGAAGAACCAAGGAAAGGGATGATGAAATACAGATTGATAGCAATGAGAGACAAACATATGGGTGGCACAATTCAAGCAAATTAGAAATGTGTATACCTCTGAAGAAAGCACAGTGGGTGAAGGACTAAAAATAAGCCTTGGACAAAATGCACCTGCCCACACATATTGCAACTGTACATCTATGCTGCTGAATGACCATCATTCAGCATAACACACACACATACACACAAGCAGATGCATTTGGACACAATCATGTTTAAGAGTGCATTTCTGACTCTGTCACACACACAGGGAGAGAGAGAGAGAGAGAGAGAGAGCAGGAGAGTGGCTCCATAGTGCTTTAGGTGCCCTGTGGCCCCAGTTTGAAAATCTTTCAAATTCTATTTTTCAAAAGGTGAAGCTTAAGATAGGAAGCCCATCCACTCCGAAATTTTCTTCAACTTTTCTTGCACCCATGATACTGGTCAGTGACTCTGGAACAGACTTTTCTTTCTCCATGTGTACACAAATAGAAACAGCCACCCTCCACTCAATATGTATTTGTTGATCTGTCCTTACCTCGCTGGGAAAATTACAATCTCACATGCTGCTTCTTTAATATTGGGTGTCTGTGGAGAGCACGCCCTGTATCTGTCACTAAACTTAGAAGGCTTTCCTCCATGCCTTAGAGTCTTTGGAAGCAGCCCTTCCTTCCTTTGTTAGCCACCTTGTCTCATTCCTCCATCGTTCTGCTCTCCACAGATATGTGAACATGTGAAGATGCTTCTATATGTATTAATGAACGAAGCCATGAACTGTAAATAAACATGTTTTTTTTTTAGTCAAGAGCATCCAGATTGATCATTTTTTCCAGATGTAAGACTAGGACTAGACAGCTTTCTTTGTGATTCCCTGCACTAAGAAAGGGAAACCCCTCCACAGAGGCATAGAAACCATACATGAATAAGGGGATCTCATCTCCAAAGTTACACCAGCACTTCGGATCCAGTGGTCTATTAATTCTAGCAGGTTTGATTGGTGAAAAATACCACACAGAAACTACTTTTAGTAGTTTAGTGCATTCTCATTTAACTTGGCTGACATGGATTTATATGAGCAATACTCACAAACATTCCCCTTGAAAGTGAAATATAAACAAAATAAGATTTGTTTCCCAGTGTTAGCATTGATCGTCCAGTAGCTGTATACTGTTTCTCAATTATACAACATGAGGACTTGGCCTCAGTTGTACACACTAGAGATATATACAGTACAGGGATTCAAAATTAGTAAGGCACCTACCATCCTTTTGTTATAGTTTTCAGAAAGACATATGTTCACACAGTGTATTTAAAAGCAATATGACTGCAAATCTCATAACTTACTTCCTTAGAGGAAAAGTCTCTGACCCTATATAAGGTCTTTTCTTGCCAGACCGTGTTACACTGGGACATTAAATTGAGGTGGTTTAATACAGTATTAGGCATAAGCGTGAAGGCGATTGGACAAAAGTCACTTCTCTAATTTGTTAGGTGTAAATTGTTCTGGCAAACATGAGCTATCTATTTCCATTCTTACCTTTTTGTGGGTATGGGGTCTGTGGGCATGGGTATTGGCTCAATGTAAGCTTTCAAACACCTTTTGATGATGTTCTCACCGCTAAGTAGTTCATTAATCTATTTACAGCAAATGAGAATAGAACTCTCAGAACATATTGTTAATGTCTTCAGGAAAGGAGAGTAAGTGATCTGTTTCAGATGACTCAGGTAGTACTACACATTGGCTGAAACCTAGTAGTAAGCCAATTCAGTTATATATATAATTTTATATATGGCCCATTAGTGCACAGCAGTATCCTGAACAATTAACAGTATAATAAAAACCAACAAAACATGGTAATCCAAAAATGAAACAATACAACAATAAATTCATAAATTAAACCTATAGAACAAAATTAAGTTGTAATTGAACCACAACCAATGGACCTTATGGATAAGTTCACTCAACAAAACCTTTCAGCCTCTGACTTGATCTCTTCTGGCCAATAATCTAGAATTTTCATTTCCAATGAAATAATCTAGAATGTTGTCATTTAAGAAACAAAAAGGAAGCCTGAAATTTATCTAAGTCCAGGGCATTCAGCTCAGCTCTTACGTTTGTTAATACTCAGAGCACCTTACTGTTGAGTGTGATTTTTGCTTGGACATGTCCATTTTCTCAAGTACCTCCATTCTGATATGTTCTCTAATTTTCTTAGTATCATCCCCTTCTTGTATAAAATGTCCCACTGAAATCACTTTTAATATATCCCATAGGAGAGCATCTAAGTTACCCAGGAGGGCATTTTCTGCATTAAAAATGCTGTATAGCTTCTGTGATTTTATTTATGATGTGCTATATTGTGAGGCAAATTAATTCTCCACTTGAGCTTTGTTCTTGGGCCATGACCAGATTTAGTTATGGCATCAATACAGGCTCTTCAGATTTGAGATACAATATCTTGACAGCATCTTAAAAAGCAGAGACATCACCTTGCCAACAAAAGTCCGAATAGTCAAAGCTATGGTTTTTCCTGTCGTGATGTATGGAAGTGAGAGCTGGACCATAAAGAAAGCAGACCGCCGAAGAATTGATGCCTTTGAATTGTGGTGCTGGAGGAGACCCTCGAGAGTCCCTTTGACTGCAAGGAGAACAAACCTATCAATTCTAAAGGAAATCAACCCTGAGTGCTCACTGGAAGGACAGATCCTGAAGCTGAGGCTCCAGTACTTTGGCCATCTAATGAGAAGAAAAGACTCCCTGGAAAAGACCCTGATGTTGGGAAAGTGTGATGGCAAGAGGAGAAGGGGACGACTGAGGATGAGATGGCTGGACAGTGTCTGCGAAGCTACCAACATGAATTTGACACAACTCCAGGAGGCAGTAGAAGATAGGAGGGCCTGGCGTGCTCTGGTCCATGGGGTCACGAAGAGTTGGACACGACTAAATGACTAAACGAACGATCTTCTCTTCAAACAGGATTGTCTTTAATGACTGGTGGTCCGAGAGGGGTTTTCAATGGATTATTGTGCTCTGTTGTTTTAAACGTGTTTTAATATTGATCTTAGTTGCCATTTTAACATAGGACTTGTTTAATTCTTTTTAAATATTTATCTATTTACTGTTTTAGCTTTTGAATACTGTTTTAGTGATATAAGTCACCTTGGGTCCTTTTGGGGAGAAAGGTAGCATAGAAATATTTTAAATAAATAAAGGAAATAAATCCCGAACAGAATAAATCTTTGAGTAGTTTTTGAACTGCTTTAAATGGGATTTGGAGTCTCTCTCTGAAGAAAGGGTATTCCTCTAAGCATCAACCAATTCACATTTATGTGATAACCACAGATTTGCGATATTCAGTAGATCTATCTAGATCACAATGCAACATCCTCCCCACCACCACCACCAGCATGACATTTTCCAATGCAAACTTCTCTATTTATTTGAGTGGGCATGGTATGACGTTCACCCAGGCACAATTTGGAGCATAATAGGATTCTGACACTGTCCTGTGTTAAATGGAAAGTGATACCTTGCCTTTAATGCAATGTATCTTATCAGAGGGAAGGAAGGGAAGAGACGGGGAAGAAGAAACCTCTTGACCCACTGAGTAGTTATAATATTTGCAACTTTGGGCAGAAGCAATTTCATCCATTCTATTGGACTTCCTGATTTCTTATCAAAAAGGTGCTTTCCAGCTCCCTGGTTGTTCGTAAGATACAATATATCTGACTTTGTCTTTACACTTGTAGTTATAACATGCTGTCACTTGAATATTCCTCATCATTTTTTAACTTGTACCTTAAATGACCCCCACCCCCAACCTCAGCAGGCAGGACAAGCTGTAGGAATGAACAAGGACCCTTGAAAAACAAGGTCCTTGACTTATGCTGATAATTACATAGCTTTAGCCTGATTATCTAGGTTCTTACTTGGTTAAAAATGTAAACACAAAAGTTACAATGTTGTAGATTGTGGAACAAATCCACTTCATCCCAGGTGCTTGAAAAGGCACTGTCTGAAATCTAAAATGGGTCGTACAGTTTTAATTAGTTTTTATTTATCTCCCCCTTGTTTGCAAATCATTTATTGTATCTGCACATCTACCAGGTATATGGAGAAAGGCCTGAGAATAAAATGCCTGTCTCTTTAAAAATTCTGTTATCTACCACAATAGCCTAAATTCCCTATTACATACGTAGCAGCCTACTAGTAACTTATGGTTTACACTACATATTCCAGATGCACAGCCCTGCTCTCTCAATGATTCTGTTGAACAGGAATGGACTTTGAAATAATCTCTCGTTGTGATTCGGTGTAGATCCCTTCTCTCCCTCCACTGGATCTCGACTCTGGGGCACCATGAGTTTCTAACAAAACGTCTTTGTCAAAAGCTTGTCAATTTCAGCATTAATAACAGATTCCGTCTCTGGTTTCAGGGACATGCCATTATCTCCTTTCTCATCAAACCATAACAAATCCCTTCTTAACTGTAGAGAGGAGGAACTGAAGTCTCTATAATGCCACTCATGTGGAACACCCAATTCATTGGGTACATCTGTGGTTAACAATATTGAGGAGGGTGGAAAACCCAGCCCACCTGTGGTTCCCTTGCTTTCGTGCCTGGGTTTTGTCTCAGCCTCACTCAGAATGGACTTGCTCCACGGGGTTTCCCAGGACCGGTCTGTTCATGGTCTATTGTCTCGCCTCCTGCTGCTGCCACTCTCTAAACCTATTTCTTCTTTCTCTCTCTTCTGTCTCGCCTCAATAAGGTGGCTTTCTGTGGATCTTTCTATTCTACTCCTTTCCAGCATATTCCCCAGGGACCTTAAACTCAGTCCACTCCCTTGTCCAGGGGTCTTCTTGTACTATTTCCACCAAGTCCTTCTTTCTTTTATTCTCCTCCTGCTGCACCCAACAAGCTTCTTCTTCAGTTCCCAACAGCCCTTTCCCCCGTTTTCCCTCTCCTTTTCTCTCTTTACCCTTTCCCACTGAAATATCAACCTCTAGTGGCTCCTTCTCCTCTTTTTCCTCCTGAACCCGCTCTCTCAAACATGGCCCCCTTAGGTCTTCCCCCAAGATAGACATTTGTCTCTTGGTGTCTTCGATCGAGGAGGCAGGCGCTACACTCTGAGGAGTGCCTCTTGGGGTACTCCCAGCCTCACACTTCTTCCCCCCCCTTCCCTGCATATCCAGCTGCACTTAGTACAAAAGGAGGCAAAAGGAAACAGGCTGAATGTGATCAACAAATGAATCAGCAGTAGCGGTAGGTTGGCATTTGTCCCTTGCACAAATTTAAAAAACAAACAAAACAATTGTGGCTTTGGGAGCCAGGTGAGATGATCCCTGCACAGGGAATCCCCAATAGTCTATTCTCCAAATTGTGACATCTCTTTGAGTGAGCTCCAAAGAGGCATTAGTGGTTTCCTATTCACTCTTGGGGGCGTAGTGGCGCTATGGGCTAAACCGCAGAAGCCTGTGCTGTAGGGTCAGAAGACCAGCAGTCGTAAGATCGAATCCACGCGATGGAGCGAGTGCCCGTCGCTTGTCCCAGCTCCCGCCAACCTAGCGGTTTGAAAGCATGCAAATGCAAGTAGATAAATAGGGACCACCTCGGTGGGAAGGTAACAGCGTTCCGTGTCTAAGTCGCACTGGCCATGTGACCACGGGAGATTGTCTTCGGACAAAAGCGCTGGCTCTATGGCTTGGAAACGGGGATGAGCACCGCCCCCTAGAGTCGAACACGACTGGACAAAAATTGTCAAGGGGAACATTTACCTTTACTATTCACTCTTAAATTTGCTTCTCCATGAAACTAGGAGGCAGACTGTTGGAACAATGCAAAGGAGAGGTTCTGTACATTATACATTGTGCTGATGCAGATCATACTCTTCCAACCTTCTGTAATTTGCCTGAGCTTCTATAGATGCCCAGGGTAAGAATACTTTTCAGTAAAGTTCTTTTGAATTTTAAACATGGGACTGAACTAATTTCAAGCCTGAAGGAGGCTCTGTCTTTACAAAGTTGAACCCCTGCAAAACAGGTTTATGTTGTCTCCTGGTGTGGCCCAACATTTATTTTAACTCCTCTTGACGGAGCAGAAACAAAGTAAGCATCTCATAGATGCATGAAAGACGCATCATTCTAAGACTAGTAGATGAAGTCACCACTTATACTTTTGTTGCCTTTTTTTCACTAAATAGAAAGGAGTTTGAACCAGCACATCAAAAAAGATGTGCTAAATATCCGGGACAATCCACTGGGAGATTCTTCTTTGAAAGCTCCAGTGGACTCAACAGAAGAAGCTCAGTACACAGTACTATTCAGTGAAGCCTGTGCATAAGAACTTCTAGCCGACTGTACCAAAAAAGGAGACAGGCAATATTTTAAGAGAGGAGTTGCTTCAACATAATGGAATGACAATAAATCCTGATCTAAAGTATCAAAAAAGACTAGAAGATGAACTAATTTTAAAAAAAGCAACCACATGTGAGAATGTCAGCAAGCATTTATTTTAATTCATACAAAAGGCATTGAGTACAACTAAGGCAGCATTTTAAAAGTAAAAACAAAGACAAAAACCAGCACAATCTTTAGTGCAATCTTGGCATAGTGGCATCTCTTTCAGCATCTATATAGTGTTTTCTCAACATAGTTTTTCTTCAAGTATATTTTTTTAAGATACGTCAAATACAATAAAAACATCTAGTCTCGTTATGGCAAGAAATGTTTAGCAGAAGGATCGTATCTTCGCCTCTCTTTTCTGCCAGAGATTTTGTTAGTAAGTGCTTTTGAAAACTCATCTGCTTGATCCTCCCTAACACATGCAAATATTATTCTAATGCACTCCTTCCTCCCATAGACTGTGCTCTCCTTAAGATTGTCTCTTTTTTTGTCCCAGAGAAAAGAAGAATCAGTTTATGCCCAGAAAAAAAGGGCAAGTTCTGGGTTCAGAACTGTGATAAAACTGCATGGAACAATTCTACCACTCTTGCTGCAATTATAAACTCATTCTGGAGCTGCAGAAATGTTCTCATTTATATTATAATAATTTGAAATATACTTACATTTTTTGTTAAATAAATATCAATATCTTTACAAGAAGAAATAAACCTTTGGTGAATTAAATAAAATGGTACAATAATTCAAAGCAAAGCCAATCTGCAACAGTTAAAGCCCATTTCTAAACATACCTGCAACTCAAACATGCAAATTAAAGTTTCTTCTTCAGTTTACCACTTACAGAATGCTAAGATGTAACAGTGTGTTTCAAGTCCTAGTAATGGTATAAGTCATTGCATACTGATGTGATTTGTATGAACGGCTGTAAGGTGCTGATATATAAATACATTTGCAAAAGTACTGAGTCTTCCCCCAATAGTTTTACAAGTTAATATGATTGCCCATTTGACAGAAATTTTCTATTATTAATAGATCTTAAAAATATGGTAATTATATGCATGAAAATTTCTGATTTTTTGGATTTTTGCTTAGATGTAGTTCCTACTGCGTTTAGAATTTACTCTTGATTAAGCACAAGCTTTAAATCTTATTTCAACTGACAACATCTGTCAAAACCTCCTGGTATAAATGATAAAGATAGATACATAATCTTATTCATGTTACTTGGAAGCAAATCCCTATTTAGCAGAATTTCATTTACTTATTGACCTTTACACACGCTCAATCAATAAATAAAATAGGTAAAATGAATGCATTTAAGTGCAGATTGGATTGCAACAGTTAATTACATTTAAATAAAATGGGTACACTCTTAAGTAAGTGCAGCTTAAAATATACTCTCTCCTCAATGTGTATTCCTAAATCTAACATACAGAGCATTTTATAATGGTCTTGAATAATGAAGGCACAATCTACAGCAGAATTTGAAAACATTCATTTGAAATGTTTGCCTTTAATTACAAATACCTGCCTTGAAGATATGTAGCAAATCAATGTCATAACAGCTTTGTTAAACTTTTAGATCACCATCATAAATATATTTGCATATGTACCTGACTGTGTTCTAAGTCCTGTGCAGTTTCATGTTTCCTATTGTTTCTGACACAACAGGAAGGACCACTTGTCCTTTCCTACACATTTGTTGGTGCATCAAATTTGAGGAGCAGCCAGTCATAAAATCCAAGTTTGCATGTTGGGTGAACACTGTTCTCCAAGTTTAGAGGACATGCCCTCCTAGGCTAGGTATTCAGTTAAAGATGGCTAACAATCCATTCCAATGTAACAACTACATTCACTTGCAGAACATCAATGCCCCTTGCAATAAAAACAGACACTTTAGCTTTTAAGTATATTATGCCTGCAAATGCTAGAAAACAGTTTAAAAACTTGTTCAATTGTCTTGATCTCCCCTCCCCGCTCAGTGTACTATAGTCATAAGCACTATTAAATATTCTTCTAAGCATTTTTTTAAAAAATCAAACTCTCTGGGGAACTTTTCTCACTTCATCTGGTCCACAAAGGAGCCACAGGACCCATATGCATGCTCGGATTCAAGCCTCCCTCAACTGGATCTCACCACAAAACATGCCTCCACCAAGGTCATGCCTTAAAACACACCATAGCCCCCTGAAGCCCTCCATGTCAGAGAAAAAGATAAGACTTTTTCTTCTGTCATTATGCTGAGGAACCACTGATAAGCTTTCATGAAACCCCAGGGTTCCCTACAATACAGCTGGAAAACCACTATTCTAAAGCAATGCCATTCATCATTATTCAGCAGAAACATACTGCCATATCTTATATATTATAATTAATTTTTTTTCTTCCTTACTATTACATATTCTTAGATCTTCTATGCATGAAGAACCACTGTTAATTTGATGCAAGCATGCATTTTCGCGCTTTGATTAAATGGTTATATTGGTCCTCCTGGTAGAGAAGGGCTGAAATGAGAAGCCCTCAATCCTGGAACAGGATTTTATGCAACATAAAATGTTGCAGTTTTGTTGTTAGTTTTTTTTCTTGTTACATTTGTTCTTTAACAAGCTGCGAGTTGGCTAAACTGAAAGATTATGCTTTACTATATATGTAAACTTTGTGCAGAAACCTTACTTCTGGTTTCTTTCTCTAATTCATAAATACAGTACTATCTAATAATTCTTATAATGTACTTTGACCATTTAATAGAATATAGATATACTCTTAAAGGCTTTGGTGTAAGTGCAGCTTGTCCCATTTGCTACAGGATAATGGCTACAGCGAAAATGTTGACAACGCAGTTCATGGTTCGGTTTTCCCATCTAACTGTGCAGGTGCCTATAACAGAGTTGAAACAAAAGACTGGTGAGACTGTGTTTCTTCTCGGATGGCAACCTACTAACCAGAGTTTCATTGCAAAACTATCAAGACAGTGTAGAAATCCTGCTAGAGATTACAGTGGGGTCTTGACTTAAGAACGGCTCGAGTTAAGAACATTTTGACTTAAGAACCACTCTCATAGGAAAATATTGACTTGACTTACATACTTAGATTTGAGTTAAGAACTGGAAAAAAACCACGTGGGAGGCAGGGAAAGTGCAAAATTTGAACTTTCAGTTAACTGTTGGCCAGTGAAAAGGGTGCCTGTCTGCTTCCTCACTCCTCCCAGCGTTTAGAGA